ATTGAGTATTGAGGTTTGCATATAAACTCAATGCTATTTGTATGCTCTATGCAAACGCTATGTGTGGTGTCCAGTACTCTAACCCCTTTTACACCTCCTAAACCTGAGTATCAGCCCAAACAAAAAACACGTATAAATTTTTTTGCCGCATACTATAAGAAAATGTTAATTTTGTCTAAATCCAGTTATCTCAGCACATGCCCATCCATTGTTAGAATCTATGTCATAGATCATTGAAAGGTATGTTGTACAAATTGTAACTATAAGATTTTAATTGTCTGTTAATTCATTAATAATAGATTACATTAGAGCTTAATTAAAGTTTACTCAAAATAAAATTATAATATTTAATAATAATTATTAGTTTAAATAATTTTTGTAAATTTGTTAAATGTGATTTCCGTATTAAACAATAATTTCTAAATTAATAAAATATTGTGAGAAAATTAATGATTATAAAATGTGTTTTATTTTACATATACAATATGTGCTAAATTGAGCAGGTTAATTAATTTATTGTCTCATCATGGCATGTTTGCAATATATAAATACAACCTTTAACAAATGATAATAGTTTTATATAAAAATTATTTATTGTGTAATTATATATTTAAAATAATTACGAAATTTACAAAATGTTACAAAAGGGTAAGTATTTTATATATTAAATGAAAAAACAAGTTTTACACATCTAATTAAACATACTGTAATTTAATAGGCAAAGGTCATTTATTAATTATTTACATCACCACGTATTTAACAATATTGGCCGGGAGGGCACAGGGAGGCGATTGCCCTAAAGCTGAGACAATCAAACCGTGCGAGTGTTACGCTAAAACTGCTGACTACCCGTTTGACACTGTATTTTGCCATGGTGATAATCCTGTTGACCTAGCAGGTTTATTTGCAAATGTTAGTCGCGAGCTTAAGGGTCGAGACACAAACTACCATCAGTTTTATTTGTCCAACAAACACGTGGTCGAAATACCGGCCGCAGTGTTCGGCGACTTACATTTCAACGTTATTACTGTGGAAAATGCGGTTAATTTACAGCGAATACATTCCCAGGCATTCCGGGGCACAGAGGGAACCGTCGAAACCTTTAGCGTTATCAACAGTCCCGTCGCGGGTAGCGTTGCCAACACTGCCGACTTGTTCGCTGCGATAAATTCCCTGAAAGTCCTGCAATACGTCAACATTTATAACACTAGTCTCAGGAATATTCCGGAGAATGCGTTCAATTCGTTACAACATTTGCATAGAATTCGCGTCGAATACGGAATTGTTGAGGAAATTTCCGGGAACTCCTTCCGCAATCTTCCCGCCCTAAAGACGCTAAGTTTGGCCCGAAATAATTTGACCCACATTTCTGACCACGCGTTTAATTTGGACAAAAATTTGGGGCAAATTCTGCGAATATCCCTCTAATTATGTACTGTGTAAATCTTCCCGCCCTAAAGACGCTAAGTTTGGCCCGAAATAATTTGACCCACATTTCTGACCACGCGTTTAATTTGGACAAAAATTTGGGGCAAATTCTGCGAATATCCCTCAACAACAACAGCCTATACGACCCGTCCCTAACATCGGGGGCCTTGAGTGGGCTCAATGTGGCCACAATTATTGACGCCGAGGGCAATGGGTTTAAACATCTCGATGAGTCAGTATTCGGCCCGTTTTTACGCCACCCAAACAATACGCAAAATGATGTAATTATATCGACGCTCGACTGTACCGATTGCCGCAACGCGTGGCTAACCCGCGGCGGGAGTCCCGCCGGTCGGCTATTTTCCGCCGAATGTCAGTATTTAGACATTTATGATAAGAATATATTCTCGAAATGTCCGTAAATAATGTGTGAGGGTGAATTAAAAAAATTATTACTAACATCATTTATTATGCTTTGTAGAATTTTCTAGATTTATTTTTTCCAGGTGTTTATTTAAAAAATAAAATAATAAATCGTATAAATAAAGATTCCACAAAACTAATAAATATTGTTTTCGATGTTTCTAGAATATTAATTAAGCTTTACTGTTATAAAAAACATGTTGAAAAATATTTACATTTGCATTAACTGTAATTTTAAATAAACATTACATCATCCTAAAAGTTAGAATTACACAGTACATAATTAGAGGGGAGGGGGAGTGAAACATAACCTTTAATAAAATGCTAAAGGGTTAGTGAGGGAAGGGTTAGGGAACCAGAAATACATGGAAAAAGTGTACAGACTTTGAGTGTGACATCTCTTACTAGACGTGTGATAGTGTTGTAAACAACTTTCACCACAACTACACATACACTGTCTCTGCAAACGGTTTATGCGCTAAAACTTATACAACGTTTAAAATGCGTTCAAAAACTGTATTCACAACTCATAAGTGATTCACCGGTTAGTCGTTTAGTACAGCGAAGGCTACGAACAGTTGAACGCAAAGCACAGACACTGTTGTCAACCAGTCTTTCAGCGCATAATTAGTGCCCAACTCTTACTCACAGTTCATCTCAATCTCACGACAAGTATTGGTCACAAAAACTCTATATCTCAAGACTCGAGTCAATCATCCCTTCATTGGATTAGAGGTAAGCAATGAGTCAGTGATTGACATATGATTCATAAACTGATCCATTATTCAACTCTTAGATTGTGTGCTTATTTACCATCACTTGATTGGACACAAGTGGGATCAGCTGTGGTGATGTCAAGTCGTGAGTCATAATACTATTAATTATTACTATTACTAGTTATATTAACTCTAATATTAATTTCCATTTAATTAAACATTTATATCGTTATTATAAATGACATGAACTTTACGTCACAATAGGAGGCAGTGGTGGCCAAAGAGGGCGTGGCTTCGGCCCGCGTGGCGGAAGCGGTGGTAGTAGTGATGGGCGCGGAGGTGGACGTGGAGGCCGTGGCGGCGCCGGACGCGGTGAAGGTGGACGTGGAGGCCCCGGACGCGATGGTGGCGGTGATCGGCACCAATCATACGAGTCGAGAGGTGGTCGCGGCGGTGGTGGCGGCCGTGGATACAGTGGCGGCGGTGGTGGTGGTGGTCAACGGGGCAGAGGTGGTGGCGATGGTAGCGGTTCCCGTCCTCCTCAGCGCCCGAACGTACCCGATGTACGCGCGTTAGCACAAGCGGTGTCCCAATTGGCGATCTGCCAGTCGGCACCGCGCGGTACCGCAGGCAGAGCTATACAGTTAATCGTCAACCACTACCGGATCACCGGTTGGGAGAAGATGTCGTGCTATCTGTACGACATAGACATACGACTGCCCCGACGCGACGGCCACGGCTTTGTTCAGATGAGTGCCGGCCCCACCGGTGCGGCCGGTGGTCAGCCCGCGCGCCGACTCCGCAACGAGCGGAGGGCCGACAACACACGAGTTGTGGCGAAAATGGCCGACGAGTGGCCCCAAGCGTTCGCCGACCGTCTGTACGCTTTCGACGGCCAGAAATATCTATACGCCGGACAAGAGTTGCCGGCGGTGTCCGCGACGCCCACCACTCGGCCCGTTGTCATACAATTGGACGGTTTCGCTGAACAGACATTTGAGGTGAGGATTCAATACGTCAAACGAGTATTGATGGCACCATTGGTCGACTACTTCGGGGGCCGTAATCTGCGCCCAAATCCCGAGGACTTTCGCGAAGCCCTACAGGCGTTGGAAGTGGTGTTGCGATATATGCCGGCGCAGAGTCTGGTCCCGATCTATAGGAATTTGTACGCCATCGACGGTCGGGAACCGGTGACCCGTGGCTTTCGGCCGCCCGTCCCGACCAACGCTGAGATCGCTTTTGGTCACTACCAGTCCGTTCACGTGACCCAAACGGGAATCACTTTAAACGTTGACCGCACGGCCACTCTGTTGGTCATCGGCGGTCCACTGATCACATTCATTGAACGGGAGCTCAATATAACGAACCTTCGCGGCTATCGGTTCACCGATGATGATAGACAACGACTTAATCCAAAGATTAAAGGTTTGTTTGACCATTGATTGTACGGATAAAACTGTGTTTGTAATTATGTTATACACGTTCGCAGGCCTTAAGATATATACGGATCACATACCGAACCAAAAGCGCCGCTTCTTTATTGACTCAATGGTCGTCCAAAGAGTACACGAATACCGGTTCGACGAAACCGATGGCCAATCCGTTACAGTGAAGGAGTACTTCCGGTCGAAGTACCCGAACACAGGAGAGCTGTTGCAAAACGTGGGCCTCATTAAGACGCGGAACAGCAAATACCTGCCGGTAGACGTGTGTGTCGTATACTCCGACCAACCGGTGCCGCGCCGTATAGTCGAGAGGACACCTGAGATGACACAACAGATAGTGAAGAGCGCCAACAGTCAGCAGCCGAGCACTCGCTTCGGTCTAATACAGCAGTCGGCCCAAGAGGTGGAAGCTGTGGGACGCGCTCTGATGACCAGTTTTGGCGTTCATTTAGAGGTAAAGCCTATTAAACTGACCGGACGTCAACTGCCGGCGCCCCGACTGGAGGGCAGTCAACGGCAGTTGAAAAGTTGTCGCCCATTGACTCGGTATGCGTTCATCAACTACTCAGTGGACGGACCGTTGAGTACAATGAAGACACTGCAAGAGTGTTTCAATCGGTTCTTTGCCGAACTGGTCGCTAAAGCCCAGGAAATGGGCATCAATATGGCCGACGGACCGGTGGCTAAAGCGTCGCACAGACCCACCGACGAAGTGGTGGCCGCAGACATCGCGAAGTTCAAGGATCTGGACATGATATTCATCTGCATTCCGTGGTCACCCGTATATAAGACAATCAAACACTTGGCCGATGTGGTGCACGGCGTGCCCACACAGTGCATAAAGGATGAGCACTTCTTGAGCCCACCGCGCGGTTACTTCGGTAACCTATTGCTCAAAGTGAACGCCAAGAATGACGGCCAGAATCAGGTGTTGGCCCCGCCGTGTCGGCCGTCCGCTACGCTCAAAAAGCGGGCCGTAATGGTTGTGGGCGTCGATGTCATACATCCGGGAACCGGTGGCGCGGGTGACGGACCCGTGTTCTCGTCCATCGCCGCCTCAGTGGCCACTTTTGACGCCGAGTTTAGTAAATATCACGCGGCAGTGGAGGGACAGCCGCTGAACACCGAAATCATCGCGACGTATGACCGGATGTTTGCCCGACACCTTAAGACATACAAACAAAAGAATAACGCTTTGCCGGAGAGTGTTATACTGTTCCGCGACGGTGTGTCCGACGGACAGTTGGATCAGGTGTTGGCCGAAGAGATACGGCTGATTGAGAGGGCGTTTGATTCGATTGCGAAGGGTTTCCGGTTTAAGTTAACGGTGTTTGTGGTGCAGAAGAGACATCACACGCGGCTCATGCCATTGGAGCCAACCTTTGATGCCAAGGGCAATGAGTTACGCAATATACCCGCGGGAACTGTTGTGGACCACACCATTACGCACCCCCTGCGCAACGAGTTTCATCTGTGTTCGCACACCGGCCGACTCGTGAGTATTGGTGGCCAACGCCTGTGCCGGCGATCATATGATAATTATCACAGTTTTAATCACGTGTTTTATTGCACTACAGGGAACGTCACGTCACGCCAAGTATATCTGTATACGCGATGATCACAAACTGACTCGAGATGAGTTGCAACAGATCTCGTATAACATATGTCACACGTACTGCCGGTGCGCGACATCCATCTCGATACCGGTGCCCGTGGCTTATGCCGACCTACTGTGCACTCGGGCCAAGATTGTGATCGAGGCCCAGAACCTGCCGTTCCAGCCGAGGGTTAGGGGCGAGTCGGCCGATGAGAAGCGGGTCCGCGAGGCGGCCAATGTCCAGCTGCTCAACGCTAATGTCGAGGCGCACATGAAGTTGATTTTGCGCCCATATTATGCTTAAAACCCAAATGCTTTTTGTCCGTGTTTTTAATCTCAATTCAATTATTTAGTTTTTTTGTTTTGTTTTGTTTTTTCCCCCGAATTGAGTCTAATTTTTATTACCCGTGACTTTGTTTTCAATCCTTAATTACATGATTACTTGATTTAGATTTACTTATTCATTGGTCCCCTAATTATGCCTTTAATTTCTGTTACAATTTAATTACTAACCCTTTTATTTGATTTACGGTATAATTATTTTCTTGAGTTGTAATTCAATATGAATTACAATTTTACTTTAAAATAGTTCTTCAATTACTAATTAACCAAAAAAAAAAAATTTAAACTAATTAAAAAATGGTCAAAATCTACTGTAAGTTCCCGACTAATACCGAGTGATAAATAGGAATTTACTGTATATAAGGCCACAAAAAAATCATAAAACATAAAACAAACCCAAAAAATATAATTAAACGCTATTATCCCAAAAATAATACAAATTATCTTATATTCTGTTATTTAACCACAATTTAAAACCCAATTTATTGTCCATAGAGTTGTCCACTAATTGTTTATGCAATTCAAGTCAGTCTATGATTATTCTAGTCTTATGTGATAAGTAAATAGCAATTTCTCGACATCTATGACAATTGATTAGTCATTTAATTTTGTGTTAAATCAAAAACAAATGTTAAACATTGAATTATTCTATGCAATTACAATGATGGTCACATGTGCCAAGGTCATTTACTTTGAATTATCAATGAGCTTATTTGAATAAATTTTTATATAAAAAATGCATTTTGATTATTTTACAAAATGATAAGTTTTGTAGTAATTTTGCAATAAAATAACAATAAAAATTAAAAAATTTAAAAAACCCAAAATATTTTGGGCCAAAAATTCGAGTATTAATTAATTTATTGTTTTTCATATTACATTAATGTTAAATATAATAATAGGCTATAATTAATAGCAGTTAAATCTACTGTATCTGACTTTTAACTAGATTTATTGAAGAATTGTTGTAGAATTTTTGACAATTATGTTTTCCATAAGTTTACAGTTATAATAAAGATTAGAACATGAAATAATGACTCATCTCAATAACATTTAGTAACAGTAAAGTTAAATATTGTTCTCGAATTTTCTAGAACTGTTTTACATATGCTTAAAAATCATGTAAAATAAACATATCGATTAATTACATCTACATTTACATGCTTTAACTGTACATTACTTTCGGTTTCATCATTGTAAAAGTTTTTAATAAAGTCGTTCAGAAAAGATATATCACGATTAGAGGGGGAGGGAGACATAAACTATTATAATTTTGTAATGAGTGTACACTATATATAGACTGATAGACAGGGGCTGTGAGGGAAGGGTTAGGGGGCAGAGAATGTACGGAAAAGTGTATTATTACAAGAATAAATAAATGCAGTTGTTTAGAGCGCAGGCGCAAGTCAATGACTTTGGTTTTGTTTTCAATGGGATTTTAACATTATCTAAGAAGGCCGAGAGTACCGATTACAAACGCATATCACACACATTTAACATACGCTATAGTATACAATGCATTGGTGTGTTAAAGGTGTGTGATAGCATACATGGCCTAACGCTGCCAATAATGTATTTTCAATGCATCTAAAGCTCCGTTTAGTAATACTCATATATGATGTATGCGTTCACTAACCAGACGTGTGATAGAGTTGTGTAATGCGAGTCCACTGTCTCTGCAAAGGGTTTATGCGCTAAAACTTATACAACGTTTAAAATACGTTCAAAAACTGTACAAAACTGTATTCATAAGTGATTCACCGGTTAGTCGTTTAGTACAGCGAAGGCTACAAACAGTGAACGCAAAGCACAGACACTGTTGTCAACCAGTCTTTCAAAGCGTATAATTAGTGCCCAACTCTTACTCACAGTTCATCTCAATCTCCGGACAAGTATTGGTCGCAAACACTAGATCTCAAGACTCGAGTCATTCATCCCTTCATTGGATTAGAGGTAAGCAATGAGTGAGTGATTAACATATGATTCATAAACTGATCCATTATTGAACTCTTAGAGTGTGTTGGACACAAGTGGGATCAGTTGTGGTGATGTCAGATCGTAAGTCATTAATACTATTACTAATACTAATATTAATTTACATTTAATTAAACATTTATATCGTTGTTATAAATGACATGAACTTTACGTCACAATAGGGGGCAGTGGTGGCCAAAGAGGCCGTGGCGTCGGCCCGCGTGGCGGTAGCGGTGGTAGTAGTGATGGCCGCAGAGGTGGACGCGGAGGTAGTTCTGGCGGTGACGCCTGTTTCAAGTGCGGCAAAAGTGGTCACTATTCCAGAGAGTGTCCCACCGGTGGAGGCCGTGGCGGCGCCGGACGCGATGGTGGCGGTGATCGGCACCAATCATACGAGTCGAGAGGTGGTCGCGGCGGCGGCCGGGGATACAGTGGCGGAGGCGGTGGTGGTCAACGGGGCAGAGGTGGCGGCGGCGATGGTAGCGGTTCCCGTCCTCCTCAGCGCCCGAACGTACCCAATGTCCGTGAGTTAGCACAAGCGGTGTCCCAATTGGCGATCTGCGAATCTGCACCGCGCGGTACCGCAGGCCGAGCGATACAGTTAATTGTCAATCACTACCGGATCACCGGTTGGGAACAGATGTCGTGCCATCTGTACGACATAGACATACGACTGCCCCGACGCGACGGCCACAGCTTTGTTCAGATGACTGCCGGCCCCACCGGTGCGGCCGGTGGTCAGCCCGCGCGCCGACTCCGCAACGAGCGGAGGGCCGACAACACGCGAGTTGTGGCCAAAATGGCCGACGAGTGGCCCCAAGCGTTCGCCGACCGTCTGTACGCTTTCGACGGCCAGAAATTTCTATACGCCGGACAACAGTTACCGGCGGTGTCCGCGACACCCACTATGCGACGGGTTGTCATACAATTGGATGGTTTCGCGGAGCAGACATTTGAGGTGCGGATTCTATACGTCAAACGAGTATTGATGGCACCATTGGTCGAGTACTTCGCGGGCCGTAATCGGCCGCATCCCGAGGACTTTCGCGAAGCCTTACAGGCGTTGGAAGTGGTGTTGCGATATATGCCGGCACAGAGTCTGGTCCCGATCTATAGGAGTTTGTACGCCATCGACGGTCGGAAAGCGGTAACCCGTGGCTCCCGGCCGACCAACGCTGAGATAGCTTCTGGTCATTACCAGTCCGTTCACGTGACCCAAACGGGAATCACTTTAAACGCTGACCACACGGAAACACTGTTGGTCACCGACGGTCCACTGATCACATACATAGAACGTGAGCTCAATATAACAAATCTTCGCGGCTATCGGTTTACTGAAGAGGACGGACAACGACTTAACCGGAAGATTAAAGGTTTGTTTTATCACTGATTTTACTGATTAAATTGTGTTTGTAATTACGTTATACACGTTCGTAGGCCTAAAGATATACACGAATCACATACCGAACCAAAAGCGCCGATTCTTTATCGACTCAATGATCGTCCAAAAAGTACACGAATACCGGTTCGACGAAACCGATGGCCAATCCGTTACAGTGAAGGAGTACTTCCGGGCGAAGTACCCGAACACAGGAGAGCTGTTGCAAAACGTGGGCCTCATTAAGACCCGGAACAACAAATACCTGCCGGTAGACGTGTGTCACGTATACCCCGATCAGCCGATGCCCCGCCGTATAGTCACGCCTGAGATGACACAACAGATAGTGAAGAGCGCCTGTCAGGAGCCGAGCACTCGTTTCGGTAAAATACAGCAATCTATCGAAGAGGTGGAAGCGGTGGGACGCGCTCTGATGGCCAGTTTCGGCGTTAATTTAGAGATAAATCCCATTCAGCTGTCCGGACGTGTACTGCAGGCGCCCCGACTGGAGGGCAATCTGCGGCACTTGAAAAGTGGCCGCCCATTGAAGCGGTACGCGTTCATCAACTACTCAGTGGACGGGCCGTTGAGGTCAACGACTAAATTCGAAGAGTGTTTCGACCGGTTCTTCGCCCAATTGGTCGCTAAGGCCCGGGAAATGGGCATCACTATAGCCGACGGGCCGGTGGCCAAAGTGTCGCACAGAGCCACTGACCAAGTGATAGCCGCAGATATTGCAGAGTTCAAGCAGTTGGACATGATATTCATCTGCATTCCGTGGTCACCGATATACAAGACAATCAAATACTTGGCCGATGTGCACGGCGTGCCCACACAGTGCGTACTCGACCAGCACTTTGTTAAGACACCTCCAGAGATATATTTCGCTAATCTATTGATGAAAGTGAACGCCAAGAATGACGGCCAGAATCAGGTGTTGGCTCAGCCGTGTCGGCCGTCCGCTACGCTGAAAAAGCGGGCCGTTATGGTTGTGGGCGTCGATGTGATACATCCGGGAACCGGTGGCGCGGGTGACGGACCCGTGTTCTCGTCCATTGCCGCCTCAGTGGCCACTTTTGACGTCGAGTTTAGTAAATATCACGCGGCAGTTGAGGGACAGCCGCTGAACACCGAAATCATCGCCACTTATGACCGGATGTTTGTCCGACACTTGAAGAACTATCGGGCGAAGAATAGCAACGCTTTGCCGGAGAGTGTTATACTGTTCCGCGACGGTGTGTCCGACGGACAGTTGGATCAGGTGTTGGCCGAAGAGATACGGCTGATTGAGAAGGCGTTTGATTCGGTCGCGAAGGGCTTCCGGTTTGCGTTAACGGTGTTTGTGGTGCAGAAGAGACATCACACGAGATTCATGCCATTGAAGGAATCGTTTGATGCCAGGGGTAATGAGATACGCAATATACCCGCGGGAACTGTTGTGGACCACACCATTACACACCCCCTGCGCAACGAGTTTCATCTGTGCTCACACAACGGGCGACTCGTGAGTATTGATTGGTGGCCAACGCCTGTACCGGCGATCATATTAATTAATTTTAATCGTGTGTTTTATCACACCATAGGGTACGTCACGTCACGCCAAGTATGTCTGTATTCGCGATGATCACAATCTGACTCGGGATGAGTTGCAACAGATCTCGTACCATATGTGTCACGCATACTGCCGGTGCCCGACACCCATCTCGATACCGGTGCCCGTGGCGTACGCCGACCTGCTGTGCACTCGCGCCAGGATTGTGATCGAGGCCCAGAACCTGCCGTTCCAGCCAAGGGTTAGGGATGAGTCGGCCGATGAGAAGCGGGTCCGCGAGGCGGCCAATGTCCAGCTGCTCAACGCTAATGTCGAGGCGCACATGAAGTTGATTTTGCGCCCATATTATGCTTAAAACCCAATCGCTTTTTTAAATCTCAATTCAATCATTTAGTTTTTTTTGTTTTTCCCGAATTGAGGTTTATTTTTGACTTTGCTTTCAATCCTTAATTTCATGATTACTTGATTTAGATTTACTTATTAATTGGTCCCTAATTTCTGATACAATTTAATTACTAACCCTTTTGTTTGACTTACGGTATAATTGTTTTCTTGAGTTGTAATTCAATATGAATTACAATTTGACTTTTTAAATAATTCTTTAATTACTAATTTACCAAAAAAATTACAAAATAATTAAAATTAGTCTTAATTCCTGATTTCTTAAGTAAGGCCACAAAAAAATCATAAAAAATAAAACCCAAAAACATGATTATAATTAATATACGCTATTATTCCAAAAATATTACTGATTGTATTCTATTTTATTATTTAACCACAATTTTAACCCCAATTTATTGTCCATAGAGTTGTCCACTAATTGTTTATGCAATTTAAGTCAGTTTTATGTGATAAGTAAATAGCAATTATCGACATCTATGACAATCAATTTTGGTTAAATCAAAAACAAATGTTAAACATTTATTCTATGCAATCCATTCTGGTCACATGTGCCATGGTCATTTAATTTTAATTATCAATGAGCTTATTTGAATAAATGTTTGTATAAAAAATGCATTTTAATTACTTTACAAAATGATGATTTTTGTAGTAATTTTGCAATAAAATAACAATAAAAATTAAAAAATTTAAAAAACCCAAAAATACAAGCATTAATTAATTTATTGTTTTTAATATTGACATTGTATTTGATCATGGTGATAATTCCATTGACTTGACTGGTTTATTTGTTACCCACATCATTTATTTTGTTTTTCCATAAGTTTACATAATAAAGATTAGAAAATTAAATAATGACTCATCTCAATAACAGTAACATTTAAAAAAGTTACATAATAATATTGTTCTCGAATTTTCTAGAACTTTTAAATATGCCTAAAAATACTCATAAAGTAAACATATTGATTAATTACATCTACATTTATATGCATTAACTGTACATTACATTACTTTCGGTTACATCATTGTAAAATTTTTTTTATAGAGTCGTTCGGAAAGTATATATCACTATTAGAGGGGGAGGGGAGGCAAACATAAACTATTATAATATTGTAATGAGTGTACACTATATAGACTGATAGACAGGGGCTGTGAGGGAAGGGTTAGGGGGCAGAGAATGTACGGAAAAGTGTACTCATATATGATGTATGCGTTCACTAACCAGACGTGTGATAGAGTTGTGTAATGCGAGTCCACTGTCTCTGCAAACGGTTTATGCGCTAAAACTTATACAACGTTTAAAATGCGTTCAAAAAGTGTACAAAAAGTGTATTCATAAGTGATTCACCGGTTAGTCGTTTAGTACAGCGAAGGCTACAAAACAGTTGAACGCAAAGCACAGACACTGTTGTCAACCAGTCTTTCAAAGCGCATAATTAGTGCCCAACTCTTACTCGCAGTTCATCGCAATCTCACGACAAGTATTGGTCGCAAACACTATATCTTAAGACTCGAGTCATTCATCCCTTCATTGGATTAGAGGTAAGCATTGAGTCAGTGATTAACATATGATTCATAAACTGATCCATTATTGAACTCTTAGTGTGTTTACCATCACTTAATTGGACACAAGTGGGATCAGTTGTGGTGATGTCAAGTCGTGAGTCATTATTACTCCTATAATTAGCTCTAATATTAATTTACATTTAATTAAACATTTATATCGTTGTTATAAATGACATGAACTTTACGTCACAATAGGAGGCAGTGGTGGCCAAAGAGGGCGTGGCTTCGGCCCGCGTGGCGGTGGTAGTAGTGATGGCCGCAGAGGTGGACGTGGAGGTAGTTCTGGCGGTGACGCCTGTTTCAAGTGCGGCAAAAGTGGTCACTACTCCAGAGAGTGTTCCACCGGTGGAGGCCGTGGCGGCCCCGGACGCGATGGTGGCGGTGATCGACATGAATCATACGAGTCGAGAGGTGGTCGCGGCGGTGGAGGTGGCCGGGGATACAGTGGCGGAGGCGGTGGTGGTCAACGGGGCAGAGGGGGAAGAGGTGGCGGTGGCGACGGTCCTCAACGCCAGAACGTACCCGATGTCCGCGCGTTAGCACAACGGGTGTCCCAATTGGCAATCGGTGGCAGCGGAACGACGCCCAGAGAGCCGACACCGCGCGGAACATTAGGCGCTGAAATTGAACTGATTGTCAATCTGTATCCCATCACCGGTTGGGAACAGATATCGTTGAATCTGTACGATATAGACATACGTCTGCCGCGAAACGATGGCCACGGCTTTGTGCAGATGACTGCGGGTCCGGCCGGCGGTCAGAACGCCCGACGCGTTCGCGACGAGCGAAAGGCCGACAATATTCGTGTCGTACAGCGAATGGACACCGAATGGCGCGAAGCGTTTGGCGGACTTTTGTACGCTTTCGACGGCCAGAGGTTTCTGTACGTCAGTCAACAGTTACCGACGGTGGCGGCGGCGCCCATCACTCGGACAGTGACTATACAATTGGACGGCTTCCCGGAGCAGACATTTGAGGTGCGAATCCAATACGTGAGAGCGGTATCGATGGCACCATTGGTCGAGTACTTCAGTGGCCATAACCCTGCGGCCAATGCCGAAGACTTTCGCGAATCTATACAAGCGTTGGAGATAGTGATGCGTTATATGCCGGCCCAGACTCTGGTCCTTGTCTTTAGGAATCTCTTTTCACGCGATGGCCGCCGACAAGTGGCCGCTAACGTCGAGATAGCCGCCGGTCATTCGCAGGCCATTTACGTAACCGAATCGGGAGTGACGGCAAACTTTGACCGCGCGTTCACTTTGATGGTCACCGGCGGCCCTCTGACCGCATTCATTGAACGAGAATTAAATATACGTGACATTCGGAACCATAGGTTCACCGCAGAGGATATCCGAAGAGTTAGCGCCAGGATTAACGGTTTGTTCATTAACTTTGATAACAACTACGAATCAATTGACTGTAATTACGTTATACACGTTCGCAGGCCTCACGATGTATACAAATCACATACTGAACAACGGTGTGCCCCAAAGGCGTAACATAACGATGAATTCAATGGTGGCCGCGAGAGTACACGAACACACGTTTACCGATGGCAACGGACAGTCCGTTACCGTCGAGGCATACTTTCGGGACACTTACCCACACACCGGCCAACTGCTACGCAATGTGGGCCTCATTAAGGCCCGGAATGGCAACTACTTTCCGGTAGACGTGTGTCACGTTCCCGATCAGCCGATGCCTCGCCGTATGGTTACGCCTGAGATGACACAACAAATAGTGAGAAGCGCTAACAGTCAGGACCCGAGCACTCGCTTCGGTCTAATACAGCAGTCGGCCGAAGAGGTAGAGGCCGTGAGTCGCGCACTGATGGCCAGCTTTGGCCTTGAGCTCAATTTAGTACCGATTAAACTGACCGGACGTGTGCTGCCGGCGCCCCGACTCCTGGGCAATCAGCGGGGGTTAGAAAGTGGCCGACCGTTAAATCGGTGGGCGTTTTTCAACTACTCACAGGCCGTAGACGACAATTATCAGGAATATTACGACAACTTTTTCCCAGAGCTGATCCGCAACGCGCGTGAAAATGGCATCACTATTGTCGACCACCCGGTGGTCAATGAGTCCCATAGACTCACTCGGGAAACGATCGAAGCAGATATCGCGCAATACAAAGACCTCGACATGATATTCATATGTCTTCCGGTGACACCGATATACAAAGCGGTCAAACGCTATGGCGATCGCGTTTACGGAGTGGCCACTCAGTGCATACTCGACCAGAACTTGATGCGCACACCGCGCGGCTATTTCCGCAATTATGTCTACAAAACTAAGGCCAGAACTGGCGGTCAGAATCAAGTGCTCGCCCCTGAGTGCCGACCATCGGCTTTACTCGGCGGTAGTAGTGGCCAACAGCGGTCCACAATGGTTGTGGGCGTCGACGTGATTCATTCGGGAGTCGGTCAGAACCAATGCCCGTCCATCGCGGCTTCAGTGGCCAGTATTGACCGGGAGTTTAGCGTATATCACGAGACGGTTGCCGGACAGCCGCCCAACACTGAACTGATTCCCACTTACGATCAGATGTTTGTCAAACACCTGAAGGCATATCAGGCGAAGAATAACAACTCTCTGCCGCAGAGTGTGATCCTATACCGCGACGGTGTGTCCGACGGACAGTTGGATCAGGTGTTGGCCGTAGAGATACCGCTCATCCGGAAGGCGTACGACTCGATACAAAAGGGCTTTCAATTCAAATTGACGGCGTTTGTGGTGCAGAAGAGACATCACATCAGGTTTATGCCATTCGCGCGCACCAACGATGCCAGGGGTCGGGAGATACGCAATATACCCGCGGGAACTGTTGTGGACCACACCATAACACACCCCCTGCGTGACGAGTTTCATCTGTGTTCGCACAACGGTTTACTCGTGAGTATTCAAACTGATGCGCCGATTTGGTGCCCGACAACTACTGGCCAATGGCCGCCGGTTTTGACGCTATTTATCATTGATTTGAATTGCAATTTTATTTCTTAAATCTCACGATAGGGTACTTCACGTCACGCTAAATACGTGTGTCTTCGCGATGACCACAATCTCACTGCAGACCAGAAGCAGCTCATGTCGTACAACCTGTGCCACACGTACTGCCGGTGCGCGACGCCCATCTCGATACCGGTGCCCGTGGCTTATGCCGATCTGTTGGCCACTCGCGCCAAAGTGATCGTTGAGGACCAGAACCTGCCGTTCCAGCCGCGGGTCAGAGACGAGACACCCGACCAGAGACGGGCCCGCGAGGCGGCCAATGTTGCGCTCCTCAATGCTAATGTCGAGGCCCACAGGAATGTGATTTATCTGCCCTTTTATGCTTAAACTTTAATCGCTTTTAATCTCAATTCAATGCTTTAATTTCTATTTTGTTTTTCACGATTTGAGGTTAATTTGTTTTTTGCTTTGCTTTCAAACCTTGTTTTTGTGTCTCGATTGACCTTTAATTATTATTTGGACTTTTAATTAGTTCCCTAATCTATAATCTTCTTAATCTTAATGATTACAAACCCTTTTGTTTGGTTTATAATTGTTTTCTTTGATCTTGAATTCAAAACTAATTACAATTTGAAACTTAAATAATGCTTTAATTATCAGAATATTAACCCCAAAAAAATAAATAATTAAAAATGGTCAGAATCTACTGTAAATTCCTAACTTAATACCTAGTGATAAATAAGGATTTACTGTACATTTAAGGCCACAAAAAAATCATAAAACAAAAAACCCAAAAAAATTATTATAATTAAACGCTAATATCCAAAAAAAAAATACTGATTAACGTATATTAAATATACTATATTTTATTATTTAACCACAATTTTAAACCCAATTTATTGTCCATAGGGTTGTCCACTAATTGTTTATGCAATTCCAGTCAGTCTATGATTAACTCTAGTCTTATGTGATAAGTAAATAGCAATTATCGACATCTATGACAATTGATTAGTCATTTAATTTTGGTTAAATCAAAAACAAATGTTAAACATTTTTATTATTCTATGCAATTATTCTGGTCTTATGTGCCATGGTCATTTACTTTGAATAATTAATGAGCTTATTTGAATAAATTTTTGTATAAAAATGCATTTTAATTACTGGAAATGATAACTTTTGTAGTAATTTTGCAATAAAATAACAATAAAAATTAAAAAATTAAAAAAAAACCCAAAAAATTTGGGCCAAAAATACGAGTATTAATTAATTTATTGTTTTACTTACATTAATATTAACTATGACTATTATAAATATTATAATATCGTATAAATATATGTAACTTTTAACTAAATTGCGATTTATTGGAGAATATGGTAATTAAACCGCTGAAGAATGGATAGCATATGAGTTACAAAAACAGTGAATTTGTTCAATTAAAAAATTAAACATTAAAAACACATGATAACAAACAGCAAACTAACCATGTTTAACTAAAACTTCCTGATTAGATAAGTTTAACGGAAAATATTTATAAAATCAATCAACATGATAAAAAAATATTTGCTGTAGTTTAAAAAGTTTTTACAAACAATAAAAGTTTACAAAATTTTTAAAAATAGAGTTAGTCATAGAAAACGTACCCATAATTAGAGGGGGAGGGGTAGGGAAACATGAACTTTAATACATTTAATTAGTGTATAGACTGATAGTCAAGGGGGTAGTGAGGGGTGGATTTAGGGGGAACGAGAATACGTGCAAAAAGTACACACACTTTGCGTATGCGATTGCTTACACAGACGTGTGATAACGTGTTATACGGACAGCGCATGCGTTATACCCAACACTTACGCTGCAATGCATTTGTGTTTTGAATTGTTTCACACAAACCACACGTTCAGCACATTTCAGTACAGAGAGGGCTATCGTATGGCATAAACACTACACTCGTGTTTCAACTCTGACTCTCAAACCGTTATAACCAGTGTTTAGTGAACTGTTAGTCACATCGAAACGGTGTGTCTTGTCTTGTGGTCAACACTATTGAGTGATTCATCGGTTCATTGGATTAGAGGTAAGCAATGAGTGAATGATTAACATATAATTCATAATATAATTAACTGATAAACACCATAATTAAGCGCTGATTGGCTGCCATCAGTTGATTGGACACAAGGGATCAGTTGTGTGTCAGTGATGTCATCGCCAACTCGTGAGTCATTATTACTATTACTACTATATTGGCGCTAAATTGCATTACATTTACATTAAAATAAACACTTAAATCATTATTATGTCTAATAAACTTGACTCACGTGTAGGGGGCGGAGGCCAAAGGGGGCGTGGATCGGGTCCACGCGGCGGCGGCGGTGGTGATGGCCGCGGAGGTGGACGTGGAGGCGGTGACAGAGGCGGATACCGTGGCGGGAGTCGTGGCGGAGGCGGTGCCCAACGGGGTAGGGGTGGCGGCGGCGGTGGTTATCCGCAGCGCCCAAATGTTCCCGATGTCCGCACTTTGGCCGAAGAGGTGTCCCGAATGACTATTGGCGGCGCCGCCGGCGGTGACGCGAAGACTAAGACAGCGGCGGAGGGTCCGAAGCGCGGCACCGCTGGCACTGCCATCGCGTTGATTGTCAACCACTACCGGATCACCGGTTGGGAGAAGATGTCGTGCTATCTGTACGACATAGACATACAGTTGCGTCGACGCGACGGTAAGGGTTTAATTCTGATGACTCAGGCGCCGGCCGGTGCCGCGGGTGGTCAGCCCGCGCGCCGACTCCGCAACGACCAGCGCGCCGACAACACGCGAGTTGTGGCCAAAATGGCGGACGAATGGCCCGAAGCTTTCAAAGGCCGTCTGTACGCCTTTGACGGCCAGAAGTTTCTATACGCCGGACAACGGTTGCCGGTGGTGTCGGAGCTACAGACCAAACGGGAAGTGACCATTCAATTGGACGGATTCGTTGAGCAGACGTTTGAGGTGCGGATCCAATTCGTGAAAGAGGTGCCAATGGCGCCGCTGTCCGAGTACTTCAACGGCCGTAATCGTACGCAAAATCCGGAGGACTTCCGCGAAGCCCTACAGGCGCTGGAGATTGCCTTCCGGTATATGCCTTCACTGACACGAGTGCCGGTGTATCGCAATCTATATACACTCGAAGGCCGGGAACCGATAACCCGTGGCTTTCGGCCGGCAGTGGCCACCAATGCTGAGATAGCGTTCGGTCACTACCAGTCCGTTCACGTGACCGAATCGGGACTCACGCTTAACGTCGACCGCACAGCGACTCTCTTCGTGACCGGCGGTCCACTCATTGAGTTCATAGAGCGTGAGCTCAATATACCGGACATTGCGCGCCAGCCATTCACCGACGATGTGATCCATAGAGTGACCGCAAAGATCAAAGGTTTGTTTCGACAACTGTTTTATACATCTATGGATTAGTTGATGAATAATTACATTATACACGTTCGTAGGCCTCAAGATATACACGGATCACATACCGAACCAAAAGCGTCGCTACTTTATTGAGTCGATGATTGTCCAGAGAGTACACGAACACAGTTTCGACGACTCCAACGGCAACCCCATTACCGTTGAGGAATACTTCAAGAAACAGTACCCAAACACTCGGGCGCTGTTGCGCAATGTGGGCCTCATTAAGGCCAGGGGTGAGAAATACTTGCCGGTAGACGTGTGTCACGTGTACCCCAATCAGCCAATGCCGCGCCGTATGGTTACGCCCGATATGACACAACAGATCGTGAAAAGCGCCAACAGTCAGGACCCGAGCACTCGCTTCGGTCTAATACAACAGTCGGCCGAAGAGGTCGAGAAAGAGAGTCGCGCACTGATGGCCAGCTTTGGCGTTGAGCTGCAGCTGAAGCCGATTAAACTGTCCGGTCGTGTACTGCCGGCGCCCCGACTGGAGGGCGATCAGCGGCGGGTGAAAAATGGCCGCCAATTGTCTCGTTACGCGGTTGTCAACTACTCGGTGAATGTCAAAGACACTCTGCAAGAGAATTACAAACGATTCTTCACGGAACTGATCCGTACGGCCCGGCAAATGGGTATCGTTATGGCCGACAAAGCGATTGCCGACAGTGAGTCGCACAGGCCTTCACTAAAAGCGGTCGACGACGACATTAAGGCATTCAAAGCCAAAAAGGTTGAAATGATATTCTTCGTGATACCAAAGGACGGCCGCGTTTACCGAGCGATCAAACACTTCGGCGATGTTGTCTACGGAGTGGCCACACAATGCATACTCGACTCGCGTTTCTTAGACACGCCGAACGGCTATTTTGGTAATCTATTGTTGAAAGTGAACGCCAAGATTGGCGGTCAGAATCAGGTGTTGTCCGCACTGCACAGACCGCCCGCTATGATTGGCGACCAAAAGCGGGCCGTAATGGTTGTGGGCGTCGACGTGACCCATCCCGGGCCCGGCCCTATGGGCGACGGACCCGTGTGCTCATCCATCGCCGCCTCTGTGGCCAGTTTTGACGCCGAGTTCAGTAAATACGGCGCGACTATTGCTGGACAACCGTTGAATACGGAAATAATCGCCGTTTACGACCGCATGTTTGTCCAACACCTTAAGACATATCGGGACAAGAATAAAGTGTTGCCGCAGACTGTGATACTATTCCGCGACGGCGTGTCTGACGGCCAATTGGATCAGGTCTTAGCCGAAGAGATACCACTTATTAAGAAGGCTTACGACACTGTGCAGAAGGGCTTCCAGTTTAAGCTAATAGTGTTTGTGGTGCAGAAGAGACATCACACGCGATTCATGCCATTCGCGCGCACCACCGATGCCAAGGGTCGGGAGATTAAGAATATACCCGCCGGAACTGTTGTCGACCACACTGTAACACATCCGCTGCGCAATGAGTTCCATCTGTGTTCACACAAAGGTCTACTCGTGAGTATACTATCTGATCCCATAGTCATAGACCCGACTAATGGTTTTAAGGCCACTGACTGTGAACTATAATCATGTGTTTTATCGCACCGTAGGGTACGTCACGTCACGCGAAGTATGTGTGCCTTCGCGACGACCATCAGTTGACCGAAGACCAGAGGCAACAGATAGCGTATTACATGTGTTACACTTACTGCAGGTGTACGTCACCCATATCTATACCAATGCCCGTCGCTTACGCCGATTTGGTGGCCACTCGTGCCAAAGACCACATCGAGGCCCAGAACCTGGCGTTTCAGCCGCGCGTCAGAGACGAGACCGCCGACCAGAAGCGAGCGCGCGAGTCGGCCAACATTGCGCTCCTCAACGGCAAAGTTGTTGTCCACGAAAATGTGGTTTTGTTGCCATATTATGCTTAACACCCATTAGTTTTGTGTTTATTTTTATATCGATTGAAAATTAATTATTAATTACTCTTATAATGAATATTCATTTATTATTAATCCCTTTAATTTGATTTATAACTATTTTTTTCATTGATTTATAAATTAGTTTTTAATTAGTTGTTTATAAAAACAGAAAATTTTTCAAAAATAATTATTTGGTCACAGAATGTACGGCTGATTCCCGACAAATACCGAGTGGTAAATAGGAATTTGCTGTATATCTAAGACCACTAAAATATGATGATTACAATTAATTTAGTCTATTATCCCAATAATTACTGTTAATTATCTTATAATTTTTAATTAACCATAATTTTATCGCTGATTTGTTATCCATAAAGTGCTTCAGTAATTGACTATAAATCCAAGACAGCCTATGATAAGGTGTAGTCTAATGTGATAATTAAATAGCAATTTTATAATCTATGACATTATTATATGATCTAATTTTATGGTAAATTTATTAAACACCTGATGTTAACTACAATTAAACATTTAATTATTAATGCAATTACTTAAATAGTTGTATTGATTAAACATTGAGCTTTTTTATGATAATTATCTGAATTTACATTTGACTTATTCTATAAACTGACAATTTTTGTAATGATTTTTGCAATTAATAAAATAAAAATACTTAAAAAACACCATAAATGCAAGTATTAATCAATTTATTGTTTTAGTATTACATTTAATATGGTTTACAAGTTTTATAATAACAGTTAAATGTTTTGCGATTTAGTGGAGAATATGGTAATTAAACCGCTGAAGAATGGATAGCATATGAATGACAAGAATATGGCTATAATTAAGACAATGACTAGAAATGTGTACAACTTTACGAAAATGAAATCAATTATCATTGAATTTGTTTCAACAGTTGTCGTCAACTCTTTGATTACAAACGGTTCCACTGTTTGGTTATGACATCCAAACAAATTCACTGTCGGTTTGATATCACTCTCAGATTTGCACTAAAAGACAATTTTCATAAATTAGATAATTATTACGAGAGAGAGAGAGAGAGAGAGAGAGAG